TATACTAAACCATGAGAGAAAGGTGGCCGGCTGCCACCCTATTCGCTTTTTTATACACCTAACGTCGCGATCTTAATGAGGCCTGCCCTGGTTTGGTTTGCAAGCATGTAGAGTAAGGTTGAAGTAACCAACCAAATCAGGGGAGGCCTCATTAAGATCACGATGTTAGGTGTATAAAACAGCGAATAGGGTTGCCGCCGGCCATCTTCTTCTCTTGGTTTACCACATTTTTGCTCTATTTCGTAAAGTATGGAATTTTGCTCTGATGATGTCTGTTACGATGGTACAGACGAAAGCTTAGCACAGTTTCATCGGGGTCGCAGGACGGTGAGCCGATGACTTTTCACACAATTCAACAGACTTCCCTACGCGACAATCCTGCTTCGGTTTCCGGTAAGACCAAATCACGAATTCCTTCCAACCAACTGTCCCTACGAAATGGAGAATCATGTCACAATATTTCATTAAGGAATTCTTCGAAGCCCAATTTTTCTTTATATCTTAAATCACTTATCCATCCTAGAGTGACTAAGTTCGTATTAAATAATTACTGATAGCCTTGAAAATGCTTTACTTTGAAAATAAGTGATGACGTGAACTGCGTTGACAAATACATGTTTGCTTAGTCGAGAATCCCGCTATAAATGCGATTTAGGTGAGTTCTGGCTGGCCTTGAATTTCACACCTGCCTTGGCACAAAAGTGAATATTTAACCTGTCGGAGGTGATGATGGGAGAAGGTTAGGGGAGCTGGAAACTGCCTTGCAACCTTCATGGGATAGCCGCTTTGAGGTAAATCTGAGTGAAATTCAATGGTATCCCTAGGTCCACTCATCTTATTAGGTGCCTAATTTTTTATTCACTTTGAAGATGAGTCTCGATTTTGCAGTTAAATTTCTCTCTGACAAGGGTGGACGAAAGTTCGTGACCTCTACTGATATAGAGTCCAGGACAAGGCAGTTTTTAGCCGAATGCACACAACCTTAGGCTGAGCAGAGCCATAAACTCTCATTTTACGTTAGAAAACGTGCGCCGTCAATAAGCTTCAGCGTCGGATGGTACTCTTAGACCTACAGCTACTATACTTACAATGAAATAAAGATGATTCCTGATGTATGTGTTGAATTTCCTGAAAAAACTGTATTATCTTCTCATTAGTGGATATATTGATTGAAAGGCAAAAATGTTGATCTCCATGTCACCCTGTCAGTACGGTTGGGTCATATGATGTGCATTAATTTTCCGGTAGTTTGCAATTATGGCGGCCACCCTGCTTACTTATAACAGAATTTCACATATTACTCGATTACAATTATTATTAGTGCTGTAATAGTTATCAGGAACCTGATTGCTTTCAATACAACACAGTTTCGTACGCTGATCTCAATAAGTCCTACGTCTGAGTCAAAACTGGTACATGATAATAAAAATTATATTCCTGATAGCTGATACCGACATTCTGTTGAAATCGTATGTAAGACAACAAGCCTGATCCGTTTCCAAAGTCTTTGGGGGACCAGCAACAAGGATCAGAATGTCTCTCAGATACCTCCTTTGTCGTATGACATAAAAAGTCGCACGTCCTGCCTTCGAAGCCGGACGTTTGGTGACCAAATCCTACTGGGAATCCAGATTAATTTAGGTTGAGGTGATGTCACAGAAATTGGTAGGCAGCAACATGTTTCCTTACTTAAGCGTGGTTAATTTAAGTACTACTAACCGCTACAGTGCGCAAACTGACTGATTCCCGATATCTTAATCATAC